GCCACAGCATAAAAAAATGTACATCTTTATTAGTATAAAGAGATATCATTAGAAAAGTTCACATCTTATGCATACACCAAAGAAACCCCTAAAGAATCTTATATTCTAAAGGAGTTATTCTTATGTCAAAATTTAGTAGTCCAGAAATTGTTAAAAAGAAAGCTAATTGACAGTAACCTGACCTTTTCTGGAAGGTATCGTTTACTTATATAATGGAATTGGTAAATTACACTTAATTCAATTAGTATTTCTTTAAAAGGAGATTCAGATAAATTTATTGGATCTAATTAATTTGCAATTTCAAGTGAACACTAGTTTGATCAATTATTTGAAACTATACAAATATTTTTCAAACAAACAAAAAAAGCATAATGGACAATAAAGGAAGTAAGAAAATCAAGATATTTTAATAATAATGGCTATTTCTATATTTTGGAAAAGTGTATAGGATGAAATTCCCAGAGAGCACTAAAAGAAAAAAGCCTGCTGAAAAATTCTGAAAGTCTGTTCTGTGCCCAATGTCCATGACCAAGTTACCAAGGTAATTAACATTTTAAAGCTCTTGAAACTGAGGTTTCCCTGCAGGGCCCACCATACCCCAAACTTCAATTATCCACTTTTGTGTAGTTTATCTATTTGTCTTCCACATACATTTTTGAACTAAAAGTATAACCTGATTTTTCTAAAATGACTTTAATAAGAGTTTTAATACCTTAACAAAAGAGTTAAAGAGCTCTTAGGCCCTGTTTTTGCAGAATAAATTTTAATTTCTCAAAAAGCCTTAAACTTTCTGAAAGATGTGTCTTTTACCCTGGAGGAAGAAAACACAAAACGAATTGAAACTGGGTCCTAAAGATCCTGTACATGAAAATCAGCAGGCTGATTTCAGTCTTGGTCTCATACAGTTTCTGCTTTTCTGCTGTCCTTATGTCTGCTATGAAGGTGATCAATCACAGGGATTCTAACTGCCATCAATACTCCTTTGTAACTGCAATGGTTCAAGTGAACTCTTTCCATCTTCAATAACTGACACAGCGTCAACATCTGCTTCCAATAAAATTGTTTCTTTTTTTCTCAAGCAGAGTAAATCTGCTAAGATTGTAAAGGGATTTTTTTCCCTCCCCTTTTCATGCAAACGATTTTTTTTCCACCATATTTTGCAATTTTTCCTCAAGGCAAGTAAAATAAAATGAATAACTTCAAAAGAGAGATTTTTATTCCAGGTGCTAAGGAAGCCCAAAATAGAACTGAAAAAATATAAACTTTGGTGATTTAGTAAAGATGTTGCCTTAATTTGGGAGAAAATAATACATAGGATCGTGGGTGAAGAAAATTTTGGAAATGTAAGAAAACTCACAGTTGGACCTACATACCACTAAAAGGTTAATTTATTTTCCCTCATAAATGACACACTAAAGAAACAGATATAATTAAGAAATTTACATTTTGTCTTCAACAAATAGTGGACAAGATTCTCTTGCAACAATTTGTTATGAAAAAGCAGGCATATATCTATTTGATCGCTGCAAAAATGGATATGGAAAGTTTAAATAAGGGACATCCGGAGCTCAATTTTATGACCTACTTACTTAATTGACAGTGGTACCTCTTATTTATTGAACATCTACTATGCGACAGATATGATTGATGATAGATAGACAGATACGATTTCCACACTTCACAGCCTGCCGGTTAGGTACTATTATCTCATTTTACTCATAAGATAAATAAACCTCAAACCACACATATCTAATTGTGGCCAAGCCAGAATTCAGACAATGACCTAATGCACAAGTCAATACTCTCTTCCATTAATTCATTCTGCTTCTCTATTCATCCCTCAGTCAACACTCCGATATATAAACTTTCCTTTTCCACCACTTAACGCCACTGCCCCATTGACTTAATTTGGCAAATATTATGTAACAAAGGGACACTCAGTAAGAAACAGAATTTAGTTTCTTGAAATATAGTTTCTGATTGCAACTTTAAATGACAAATAGAACATTAAACTAGATAGCAAATGCAAAAACTAGATAGATCCTACCCTATTCTGCAGGTCCTAGAATAGGAATAGGAAATATGATTTGCAAAATAAATAATGAGCTCTTCAAGGGCATGTTTTATGCCAGTGCCTAGAATTTGTGTTTTTTTTTAAGTTTTTATAAAGTTAAAAGAATTAATTCCTTAAATTATTTGCAACCCACTGGTTCTCATTTGCAAAATGTAGAGCAACCCTGGCCATTTTTGCTTAAAATAATAATGTAAATAATTTTAAGAGAACAGAGAAAGAAAAAAAAATACAGATGAAACTTAGGAGGGGACAGTTAACCTTCTTAAGAAGAAACATTGTTTTTTAAAATATTTAGAGGTTCTTTTCAAATAAACAGTGAGAGACAAAATAGCCTGTTGAGATCTTACTTATCACTATTATGTTGTTCCTTAACTCATGTTAGTTTAGTGGTCGAAGCCTAGATTAAATGTCAAATAAATGAGATGATTTAATAGGGTCTAGCTCATTAGAAACCTTGAAGGAAGTCTAATTTTTAAAATAGTCAAAGGTGGAATGGTTCCAAATGAATGCGGGAGGAAGTTGGTAGGCCTCTGTAAAGCAGGTTAGAAGCCTCTAAGTTCAATAGCATCATTTTGATGTGAGAAGAGCAGACCTAGAGAGTGATAGCATTTTCAACTTAAAATAAATTCAGAATATCATGCTAAATTACAACTCACCCTCTTTTATAACTTCTGGTGGTAAAGGTAATATGATCATAACAAGGGGATACCAGGCAAAAAACACAACAAAACAAAACAAAACCAAGGGGATGCCAGACAATTATAGAGACATGCACTCTCTTTTTACTTAGACTTTGATCCATTCCTTGTCTGTGCAAGGATCTAACCCTTGTAGTATGTCAACAATGCCTTTTCTCAACAGGAGACCTCACTTACAAATCTTTCCTGGATACAGCAGAATTCAGGCCCCCAGCTTTTCTTGGGCCCCAGAGCCAAGGAACCTTTCATATATAGTTACCAGGAGTGGCACAGAACACAGTCCAAATTCAGGGTGTAGCTATTCAGTTGTCTCTCTCTCCTTGAATTCAATTCAGTGGAGAATAAGGAGAGGAGCAGAGAGTGAATTCTTTTCTTCTCCCTTAATTGGGAAAATCCAATTGAATGATCTGAATGAGTTGGAGTACAACGCTGATCTAAGAGAAACTGCAAAGGAAGTTAATAGGTTCCAGGGGAACAGGAGGAAAATAAATAATCCCCAGTGAGTCATCCCATGGGAACTGCCGAATACTTGTCTTTGAAAACTCAGGAGGACACAAGAGGAAACCAATTTTATAGAGTCATTTAACTTCATGCTCCACAGATTGGGCAAAGTACATACAACCGTAACAAGTCAAATTATAGATCAAAATATAGATAATTTAACCAAGCCACTCCCTAGAAATCTAAGTTCATATCATTTGTAAGTAGAAAATTCCTTAGGTTTTGACCTCACATTAGGTAAAAATATGCATATTGCATTAAGGAGAGTCTGGTTAAGAAGAAGCAACTTATGATAAGAATACAAGAGAGTGTATAATAGATTTATAACTCACCAGAGGCACCAGGAAAGAAAACTAATGCAAAAAAGAGAGATAAGAGAACTATTTTAAATTATCTGTAAGAACCCTGCCTAGCTGAGCAGAGGTTATGCTGTTCTTATAGCTAAAATGTTTATGCACAAGATATACACAGTTTAAAATGGAAAGTGGTATTTCACGAAACACTCTATTTCGTATGGGTGAAGACCAGGAGGGGGCACATTTGAGAAACTTTTACCAAACAAAAATTTCTATATAACACTAACTTTTTAATGTGACCCATCTCTGGAAGCAGCTATATGAGAATGGACTTTGCATCAAAAATCCTTAAGATATTAACTGCTACTTTCATAACCGTAATCTTTTCCTAACAAGGTCTTAATGATAACTCCAACTTCACCTTATTTAGATCCTGAGGGCCATGCCAAGTTGAATCCTGAGCATTCAAGGATAAATTTCAAAGAATAAATAGTCAATTTGTTACCCCAATTTAAGTAATTGTGGCATAAATTCCAATTTAAATTTCATTTTGCTCTAAAAAGTTTTCTTAAAAGAGTTCAATCAGCTAGGACCAGATTTAAACAACCAAGAAAGTCTTGAAAACCCCATGTTTGAAATATTACATATATAATATATTATTTTTCAATTTACAATGATGAGTAACATTATTAGAAATAGCCATTGAATTAAAGGCTTTGTGACACGTCTAGTACCTTCCCAGATATTATCCCTTCAAACCATCTCTCGGAAAAAAACGATCCACTTAAAATATGACCTTAAAAATTGCCATGATTGCATAATTAGAAACAAGGAAACTAAGCCACTGGCAATCAAAGGTAGCATGGGTAAATGCACTTTTTTTTCCCAGTAGTTGGATATAAACTGGTTCCATTTGTCAAAGTTGGATGGGCTAGAAAGACAACTACATACGCTAGGCAAACTCTCCCTCTGATTGAAAGTTTCTGCAAAACTTAGTCAACCTCCAAGTACTCTTTGGGACAAATCGAAGTAATGAAATATCCTTTCTTTAGTGTGGTCATTAAAAAACTTCCTTTTCAAGCTATGCATATAACTCAAAGCTAGGTGAGCTAGCATGGAATTAAATCTTCACCGAGATTTAATGTAAAACAATACTATATTGGCTTGGCTATGGTGCTACTTTTGTAAAAAAGGAGAAACTATCAAACACTTGAGGTAACCTAGAAAGCACAGAGGATATCACAGACATCTGAAAGACAAGCCTTTTCAACATTTTTGCCAGTGCTTCTCTGAGAGCAAGTTCTTTAAACAGAACTTAACAATTTTTACAATATTAAAAAAAATACATCCCTCAAAAATAGCCCATCAATGCTAAATCAAACTTTCTGTATTTCTACAAAAATAGAGACACATAGAGCTACAAAATTGTATTACTGAAAGAATGAGCATTTTCATTTGTGGTTCATCTTTTCCTGACAAGGTGGTTGGTTCAAAAAGGGGGGAAAAAATCAAAAGGAAACAAAAATTAAACCATGTATCCATAAAAGCAAGACAAAAAAAGAGAGTTGCACAGTTGGCAAAGGCTCAGATGAGGGGAAAAAACAAACAAAAATGCTTTTCTTCAATGTCTAGGACCCACTGGGCTTTCTCAAGAAAAGGCTCCCAACCAAAGTCAGCTGGCTGATACTTCCTCTTCTCCTTGCATGTCTATTGTGTCCCACTGCAGAATGGAAAATCCTGGCAGCATCTTTCCCAGTGGGCCCACGGAGTCACACTCCAACCTGACTTGCTAATACTGTGTTTCAGTACCATGGTGATTCCTTGCTCTTGTCTTGATGCTGTAGACCTGGGAAAGGTGACAGTGAGAAAAACGAAAAGCTTTAATACAGGAAGCACTCGAAAGTGGGCATAATCTACAAGGCATTGGATATAGAAGCCAAAAAGACAATCTAGGCCACGGTGGGGTACGGCCTAAGGATGACCTGATCTCTAAAAAAATTCCATGCTTGAGCTCACAGTTTTCAAAAAGCCAACCAACACAGCAGTTGACAGAAATGCTAGACTAGCACAGTGCTACTTGTACAGTAGAAATTCTCCTTCTTCTTCTTCTTCTTCTTCTTCTTCTTCTTCTTCTTCTTCTTCTTCTTCGGTACAGTAGAAATTCCTTACTGCAGTTTTTATTTTCTTGGAGTATGAGTGATAATAAATAAAATAAAATAATAGATACAGAACCTTTTTAGTTCTAATTCCAAAAGGAGCTGATATTTGGAGAAAACAAGTTAACCAATCTTTGGGGCACTTCAGTTAATACTTTTCCGCAATAAAAATGATTCTTTTGAACTAAAAGAGTGAGTAAATTCTGGTGCTATTTTGAAATGTAGTCCATAGTGGTATTGCTATCCAATACGGTGAGCAATTAGACACGTTTTAAAAACTGGATCTGATAGTGTCAGTAAGATAGACATAGCCGGTTCATAGCTAATAGCACAAAATATTACGTTCATAAATGTACATATTTTTTCGCATCTTCCTCCAGAAAATATTTAAGATGGCTTATGAAAATCTATACTTCATAGCAAGAAAATAAAATTTACAGATAAGGCTTTAAAAATAGTGACCAAAGGAAAATAAGTGAACATGTATGAGTTCCAACTCAAAACTAAAGTGATCAAGAAGTTTATCAAACAGGAAACAGAAAAATATGACTCTGATTTGGTTCCAATACAGTCAGTTGACTGATTTCTGATGAGGACAATTAGCATAGCACCTTCAGCTTATCCCCACTTGAAGTCACTTACCTCAGTTTCCTCTATTTTTGGCATAATCGTTTGGAAGAAGAAAGACAAGGTAATGATTAAAACCAAACACCAAAACATGAAGGAAGGTTACTGCATGAGTGGGTAGAAAGGCAGCGTGATTGCCGCTGTGCGGGTGCTCAGATCACAGGATGTTTTCTTGATCCTTGATCTGAAACTGTTGTAAGTCTGGGCTGCATGTCAGAAATGGAATGGTTAAATGAGCCAGTAGGGTTTTAAATTATAATTTTTACTAAAACAGCTGCAGTGATTTCATTTCTTGTCCCTCCAACTTGTCAAAGAATTTTAAAAACAATGGATGTCATTACAAAACAGACACAATTAGTCAGTCATTAATGGGAGACGTTAAGACAATCTACAAAAAGACTACATAAAGGGAGAGAAGACAAACAGAAAAAGACAAAGAAGCACCCCATAGAACCACAAGTCACTATCTATATCCTACAGCACTTGCATACTGGGAAAAAAGCAACACTTTCTGAAAAAAGATTAGTTCCATCTTATTTTTTTTTCTCATAAGACTAGTATTATGTTTAGATACAGAGTCAACAGTTTTCCTTTCAAGAAAAGAGGAGGAGGAGGAACAGGAGGAAGAGGGGCAGGAAGACGTAAAAGGATTGGGGGCGTACTCATTCACTCTAAATTTGCTCTACTCATTTTCAAATGATTTTGTGGTTAGAATAATTTGCAACCTGACACAGTCTCTGTTTGGTGACTCTTATAATCTAAACCACCTTAACTGACAATCTGCTGACGGCATAAATATTTTTTTCACTATTGAAACGTCTCATCTTCTGTATGACTCAGTATTTCCACACTTGAAGACCCCATCAATCTACAGAATGTCAGCACAGCAAGTCATGAATAGTGTTGGAATCATCAAGTGGTTTGAGTGCCTGTTTTTCCCCTCTTACATAAAGGCAATGCCTAGTTTGCTTTGCAAAGACATATGACTCCTTCAAAATCATGTTAGCCTTTTTCTGCAGACAACCATTGCATGACTTACCATAGCTCTACATTTTCCAATCAGAATAACAGAGGGCATTCTCTCCTTATAACTCCATTTCTTCATGGTTTTTATTTCCAAGTCTTTGCATTAGAGTAATGCAATTCATCTATGGCCTAAAAAATCAACTCGTCTACGGCCTCAAATGCATTAAATATCTACTGTGGTCCTTGTGGCTTAGCCGCTTCTTGGTGATGGTACATTCTATCAAACCTTCGCTTTAATTACCAGGTATTTCAAAAGATCCATAAAATTCAGTAGACATAAGTAAAATACAAGAAAATGAACAACCACAAACAAAATACCCTACTACTAATAAGATGCAACAGAGAAGTGGTGCTAGGATTTTTCTTGTTAGACAATCGATGAGGATAGATCAGGATATTTAAGAGTCGTCTGGTACATTTAGTTTTCTCAGCAAGGATCAAAGAGGACAAAATCATTGACTTCTTATCTGTATGTGGTCTACACACATTTAGGGTTTCCCTAGCTCCTCTTACCAGAACACAAAATCTACTCTGTCTCTCAATTTCCTAACTCAAACCTCTAGGAAATTGGTTCATAACATATGCTGAAATCTCCCAACTGGCTCTCTGAAATCACCCATGTTTATCTTCTTGATATCAGTAACTAAGTTTTAATTTTATTGTTTAGTTTGTAAGATTTTTAGTAGATGAGAAAATAAACATCATAAAAATGGCAGTGAACATTTTCTTACAGCTAAATACGACAGGCACTGTGTGAAGTGCTTTTCATGAAATATTTCATTTAATGTTTCCAACCATGCTACAATAACATTTATTTTACAAATGAGAAAATTGAGACTAAGAGAAATTATGAAACTATTAAGTGGTAGAGCTAGGCTTGAAAACAAGGTGGTCTGATGTCAGAGTCAAAGGTCTCAACCACAGTGTATGTGGCTTGCCCCCATTTGGACCATATTTGTCAGAGACTATGTAACTAAACTATACTACCCACAATTCCCCAAGTCAAAATCTTTTCATTAAATCAATTTGAGGAAAAAAATAATACATTTTTTTATATTCCTTTTTACACTGTTTAGAAATCACCTGACAACAGAACCAGTATCAGAGTTAACAACAGGGCTTTTTTAGTAACCTTTTTAAACTATATATCTGTAATTTTTTTTCTAAGATGCAGTAATTGATTACACAGTAGTTTATTATACTTCAGATGAAGACTGCTTTAGTTGTGTAATAGGATAGTCCACGTTGACTGATATGTTTTTGATATATAACCCTCCCCACTGCCACAAAAAGAACCCTTCCCCAGTGTGAACACTGAAGGCGCAGGGTGGCCATTTGGATCATGAGGTGGTTTTCAGAAATGGGACCAGAGAACAAAGACATCCGACTGTTGGCTTCAGTGTTTGAGAGTCTGGGATTCAGTTAGGAGAAAAGCTTAAATGGAAGTGCAAGCCCACAGATCCAGTTCCTCAATTCAATTCCAACACCACTAACACCTGACCACCAAAAGAAAAAGAAACAAAACAAAACAAAACAAAACCCAGACTTAAGAGAGCAAAGGAAGGAAGTATGAACACAGAAAAGAAGTGTAAACTAATTAGAAGCAGGAGAGAAGTCCTGGTCGAGGGACGAAGATTGTAAGAGAATTATCCTTTAAAATTTGAAGTATTTGATTCCCTAACAAGACATCACAACTCATTTTCTCACTTTCTAGCTGAAATTTTTAGGGGGCAACAGCTTCAGAGGTTCACCTTTTTTTTTTTTAAGATTTATTTATTTGGAGGTGGGGAGGGGCAGAGGGAGAAAGAAAACCAAGCGAACTCCGCACTCAGAGAGGAGCGGGGCTCCATCCCACAACCCTGAGATCAGGACCTGAGCCCTAACCAAGAGTCAGACGCTCAACCAACTGCGCCACCCAGGAGCCCCAGAGGTTCATCTCTTACAAAAGGCTCTGGGAATAAGGAAGTAGAGATGGCAACAGGGTGTATCTAAGGATGAAAGATCTGGACACTTCCTGCTCTTGTTTCCCTCCACTCTTAGGTGTCTTGTAAAAAGATCTTAGGTTTCCGTGGGACCCCAAAAAAGATACAAGAGTGAGCTCAGAGAAAATGTTGGCGGGCCTGCTCGTATGTCCAATGGCTACAATGTGGGTACCCCACAGCAGAAGAAATGGCACCAGTCACCCCAACTGAGAATGTTGGAGGGATCACAATTGCTAGAGGCTGAACCTGACTTAAATGGGTCATCACTTGGGGGAGCACTCTACAGAGAATGCACTGAGTAACAGAGGAGAGGGGGGTAGGTTTGAAAAGAAAGGCCAGGATAGGAAGGAAATGACAAAATCATGAAGCAAGGAGCAACCACTTAATCGACAGTTTCTGTGCTACAATGATTCTAGGAATACAGAGGCAAACCCAAGGAGAGGGTGAGGAAGGAATCTGAGAAGACGTTTCAACTCTAAACTGGACATTGTACTAAATAGAGCAATGGAGATACCATTAAGTTGGACTAAGAGTACTCAGAATTAACAAGGTTAAGTTTTCTACTATTGGGTAGAAATAAATAATAATTTAGGTTACTGAAAAACTACACTCTGGCACATCTGAGTTTTAGGGAATGTTTGATTTTCAGAGTCATATCCATTAGGAAAGCATGTCCTGCTTCTAAGTCAGCATAATCACTTGACAACACCACTGACTATAGCTCTTAAGTAAGTTGAACATGCTTCCAATTAATTTTATTGCTGTAGATAAAAGAGGTAATGTGGTAACCATACACTGGGGAACATGCTGCTGATAAAAAAGAAGAAAACATAAGAACATAAAACCTTGAAGTGTGGGTAGAATATTTTACAACCTGAAAGTCAAGAAATACTTAGATGCATAAATATAAATTCTTCATTTCATAGATACTAAGAGTCTAGAAACTCTTTAGGATCAAAATTCTTGCCATTAGACTAAAAGAAGCTGGTAGCTTATTCCTACATTAAAAAAAAAAAAAGAATCCCCTGCTTCATCCCTGCTTTAATAAAGGTAAG